TGTCTCGTGATTTTACTTCTCACCATTTATAACCTCTATTTCATTTTCCCTTCCCATTTTGTCTATGATTACACTAGGTTGCTCAATTTTGCCCCGGTACCCAACTGTTTCCCTCCAAAAAAACGAACAATGAAGTGTTGTTTTTTTGTAGGGGTTCAGGTCAAAAGGCTGTCGAGGACGGAGAGTTTTGTTGAAGCGAGTATACTTTGTGCCATAAATTGGAGTGTTTCACAGCACATCAAATGTAGTGTACACCTGTTAAACGGCTGCTTTCGCAGGCTAACTTAGACGGAGCCCCATGATTTTTTGAGAGATTGTAAAAAAATGAATTGAAGTTGACTTTGGCCAGGAAAACTGTCACCACCTGCTTTAATAAGTAATTATATATTTTCACCGGTCAAAATAAGTTATAATCAATATTAGCAAACATTTCGACTGACTACGTCACTATCCGGCTACAAATAAGCACACTCACTCTAAATCTATTTCAGAAGAACTAAAAACATATTACTGAAGTCTAATAAATTTAAAAGAGAGTGAAACTGAACCTCAAAAAATATTATCAAAAAATTTCCACTTTGCCTCTGCTTTTCTAAGAACTTCTCTGTTGTCTTGGCTGCTTCCTTTTGGCCTCTGCATAAATGGAAAGTACAAATGTTTATGATTGTTACAAAATATGGTATAATTAGAAATTATTGAATGAGGCTGAGTAGGATGTGAAGAATTCCGCAGATCGAGGAGGAAGTTATCCTGCTAAGCTGAAGGCCGATAATATCCTCCACGCACGCCGGTTTCAGGATATAAACAGATGCTTTCAGGGGCGTAGCTACCTGTACGCACGGTGCGCACGTGCGTAGCTGAAAAAGTCGTGCACAAAAAAGTTATAAATTAATAAATAATAAAAAATAAAAAGTTGCTACTAAAAAGAAAGCAAAATATCCAAAATATTCTGAGATATTAAGCAAAATAATGTATGTTATAGTGTCGTTTGTCATAATGGATTCAAAAGTGTATAGCCTTATTGTATGATGGATCCAAACGAGCGACAAAGTATTTTACAACTTGCTTATGTCATTTCATATGCAGAAAAAAACGCTTAGGCTTACAACCAGGGGGGAAGGGGGGGCTGCTTACAACGTAACCAAACCTTTAATTTAATCAAGGAAGTTTTTTTTGGGGGGGAGCTATTTGGATAATTGTGCGTACCTCTGAAAAAACCCTTGCTAGGCCCCTGGCCTATTTTCTTCCACTCCTCAAACGAAATAGGTAACACCCATCGAGCAAATGTTTTGTGTATTCTTGCATTTCTTTCTCTCAGTTTTGGTCAGAAATCAGCCTTAGTTTTGCCTTCGGATAGCGGTGATTGCCCTTTTTTTAGTTCACTCTAGGTGGTCTCGCCTGGAAAAGAGGTTGATCGATGGTGTATTGCCCATTCAACCTCGTTTTCACGCAAATGTAACCTCGTTTCTGAGCCGTCAATATACCATCGATTCGATGGTATTTTGTTCGCATCTTCCAAATTTGGTCAACGCCGGTTGGTTATGAAGAATTAGCCGGAGGCTTTAAGCGACTCAGAAACGACGAAATATGTTGAATGAATAATAATTTTATAGTAAATATTAGCAGCATGTACAGTTATTGGAAAAGGTAGCATTGTGCAATGCATTGATGCATAGACATTGAATTATATTTTGCAATCGGAACTGGCCATATTTGTCTAAATTTAGCTTGCCTATAAAGAAATCGAAAGAAGGGATAGGTTGGTCTCAATTTAGACTATTCTTCACGGACTGTCCTTTAATTTATACTTCTGGTTCGTATGGCAAATATATACCGCTATATACCTCTAGACGGTAACATAGCGCTTAGTATATCAGGATATTTATTAGTCGAGTATTCATTACCTAAACAATGTGAGGCACTCCGTTTTTTGTTTTGTTTTGTTTTGTTTTCTCTTCTTTTTTTACAACCGGATTTATTTGTTTCTGCACAGAGCCTGAAGAAGCTAGAAATTTGCAGTCAAAGGGAAAAATTCCGGAGGAACACGCTTTAGAATGTTTGCCAAAAGTCGAGGAATCACTAGACTCTTGGCTTCATTTTGAAGAAGTAGTTCTCAAGTGCAGGGAGAGGGCGGATTTCCCACCTTGTGTTCAAAAGGACAAACTGAAACAGATGATAGACGTGGATGAAACGTTTGAAGGAATGCTGGACTTTTATCACAACAGAGGATTGATCATCCTCCCAGGTAACTCATTATATTTCCATTCTGTGAAGCATTGTTTTGGTAACTTGTGCTTTGTATTGTGAGTTCTACAGAGTAGATCAAAGTATTGTACATACGTTAAAGGTTCTAGGCTTTCATCGCAGCCAAACCTACTCCCGGCAATTAGCTCAGAATTATAAGCCTAGCCCTAATGATCAGTTTTTGTACTTAAGACAACCAGAGGAATTACCGCCAGTAACTGATTAATCACTCCTTACACCCCCCCCCCCCTTCGGGGGGGGTTGAGGGCACTCAAGGGAAGTTTGGGTATCTAGGGGCGCTTTCCATCTAGGCAAAATCTGCGGTTGAAAATTCCAGAACATTCCGGGTCAAATGGAAAGGTTTTCCAGTCATAGAGCCTTGTTTGCAATCACATTGCTCGCGTGAACCAAAAATCCAACAAAATGGATGTTGTAGCACTGCCGGTACTTTGCGACAATTTCGACGACATAATTGAAACTTTGTCCAAAAGCTAAAATAATTTTGACTTTGTGGCTGCAGTCTGTTGCTGTTTCGTTAGAAGGAATTGGAACAGAGTTAGTTAAAAACTATTTTGAGTCTACAGGTGAAGATGCCATTTTGAACGATGCGATAAGAAACGAAAAGAAGAAGCTGCGACAGCCGGTGAACAACGCTCACCGGCAGACGATGGAAATGGTGGGAAAAATTCCAGGCCCCGGGAGCCAGCCGCCGGCTGAAACAGAATTGCGCAAGTGGAACGGGATTTCTGTTCCAGCGGGATGGAATGCAAAAAGTGGAATACCTTGGAAGGTCGTCCGTTTGTTCCGGAAAATTTCCGGTCTAACCGCGCGTTCCATTTGCGGTTACACTGGTCGAACCGGAAATTTTGCCTTCCTTATTGCTACTTAATCTGGCCATTTTGGGGAGAGAGTGTTTCGCGGGGTTTTATTTTTACGATATTAATACGCAAATATGAAAAGAAGGCATTTTATTTCGCGATTTTAGCGTTTTCAACTTCTTTTGATTTCTAAAAGAGTCTGAAAGTTTCCAAATTTCCAGGTGAAGTGTAGAGGCTTTACAAGTTAACGTTATTTCACTTGCTGAAAATACAAAACGCAGGGTCGGCCAGGGTTTTGGGGTATACGGTATACAGGGGCTTTTTAGATCGGGTATACCGTATATTGCAGCTTAATTACGGGTATTCGGTATATCACTTTCTTTGAATTTCAGGTATAAAGTGTACCTGGGTATAATTTTGGGTATATTTGGATGAATTTTGGGTATTTTGGGGTATTTTAGCGAATTTTTTCGGGTATACATACTGGTATACCACTACCCACCTGGCCGACCCTGAAAACGGAGCTAACCAGTAAAACCAGTTAACAATTTATATTTTCTATACATATCATGAATATATTGCTGCTATTACAAGTCAATAATTTTTTCCTTTAAATTGAATTTTCTATATGAGTATTTAATTCGCGATTTTTTTACAATCGCGAAAAACGCAAAATTAAAGACCCGCGAAATTGAGTACAAATAAGGTAAATGGAAAGCACCTCAGAGGTATATCTGCCGCCGAAGTCTTTAAAACCTGACCCTGTTTAATAATGGTAATTGAACTGGGTGGAGTGCAATTTGGTCTGAAATCATACGCGTGATTTCAGTTCGATTTGAAATCACAAGTATGATTTCAGACCAAAATTGCACGACACGAAGTTCAATTACCACTTTATTACATCCATTTTGAAATCGCAGAAGTTAGTCAGTACTAATATTTTATTGATCGAGTAGCAAAAAGGCTTTTACACCTCATTTTGTATTCGAAACAGAAATGATGCGATATAGAACAAAAATGGTGCGATTTAAAACAGAAATGATGCGATTTAGAACATGAATGACGCGATTTGGAACAGATGCGATTTAGAGCAAAAAATGGTGAGATTTAGGAATAAATCACACGCTGAGAGCCAATCAGATTGCACTGATAGCCAGTGATTTCAAAATGGATGTAATAAAGACAGTAATTGCTCATTTCGCCACCCTGTTTAAGACAAGAGACTTAATTGTATGACCCTGACTCGTTTCCTTTTGCATACAGTCTTTTCATACTAATATCATGAAACTAAAATTTTTTGGAAAAAATCTTTAGTGCCACAAATGTAGACCTGCCGCCTTCACAGTTTTTTAATAGCTCCCGGTCCAAAGACACACCCTGTTAAAAAGCCAAATACTGAAATTGTATACCTTGTTTAAAGGAACAGTATCCCGTTACTGCGCGTGCACCAAAGTTTGATTTTTGGACAGGATGTCGCGAAATCAAAAGATATTACTGGACTTGGAACAACTGACCTCTGACATGAGTTTCACATTAGAAAATCTGTTTTTAAGCGGGCGGAAAGAGATTTTCGGGTCGCGAGGCGGCCCTGCAAGCGATAAAATCGCGATAAGTCTTCGTGCCGCGAGCCAAATTTTAAATAAGACGAAAGATTTCTTAGAAAGTCTAAAGTATTGCTTGAGAATATAAACAACAAATCTCCGTCGGCGGAGCGGTTCGGAAGGAAATCTTGTCGAGTCAATATGACAGTTCTATTGTCTTTTGAAGAAAAAACAGGTGACGCTCGCACGTGCGCATAATCGGGACACTGTCCCTTTAAGACTCGAGTCCCTGAAAACCATACCCTGTTCAGCGGTACATATCAGTCTACGCCAAATAAGGGAGTGACCCCCAGACTCCTTTTTTGAATTGGCCTGTAACACAGAGCTAGTCACCGAGAGTTAAGAATAATGTCCTTTTTATCAGTTGTTTTTTTTTTCCAATGATCTACCTCCAGGAAAGCTAATCACAGCAGAGAACCAGAGCTCCGAGATTAACGACTTGGTAGTAGTCAAACCCCAGTACCTCGTGGACTTGATAACCAGCCTAAGTAAAGAGCCAAATCTCTTGGTGTTTGCTCAGCGACATCAGCTTCTGTCAAAGACGCTGCAAGATAAATGTATAGCCGACATCAACCGAGAACGAATCTGCAGAGACCCAGCCAGCCCTGTTGCAGAGATTGTTCGCAGTTTAGAAGAGTTTGATTTGCTGTGTCCCATTTCAAAATTACCACAAGTTACTGAACCCAAAAGCCACGGTGAAGGTCACGACATTGAGACACGGATAGGCAAAGGGGAATGTTTGAAAAGAAAATGGAAAAGACTTTGTGAAGAAAACTGGCGTGGCATTTGCGACTCGGATAAAGTTCTTGTGTTTGATTTCTACAGGCGTCTTCCTCCTTCCCTCTTTCAGTATTTCATCGATCGCATAGCTGTGGAAAGTAAACGAAGCTATGGCATGAGGCCCATCAAAGCCAAAGAGATGGCCATCTTCTCTTTTGGTGACAGCTTCTTCTTTCTTGCGGAGACATGCCCAAAGTTCAACCAGATTAACATCAGTGCAAGGTAAGTCAATTTACCTTACGAAGCGGCAACGTTAATTACACTTTATTTTGGCCTGCGTAGCTGGCGGAATTGGTGTGCCCGGGGTACTTTCTTGGCGGCGGAGATGCCAAGCGAAAAACTGATTTGACTAGCTCCCAATCTTCGCTAACTTTATTCTTTCTTTGTTAAACGCCTTTGGTTAAACAAAAATGGTTGTTGCCTTGCTATCGTTGTCATTATCAAACTCTCGCACTTTTTATTGCTACCTGTTCTGGCCATCGCCATGTTTTCCCTTTAAAAATAGGATTAAATGGAAAGATAGGAATTAACGACGGTTTGTTTTTCACTCGTTAGGTACAAGAATGGAAAGAAGTTGCATGAATTGTTCACCACTCTGATGACAATAATGTCAGAAATTTGTCAACACCAGTTTAGTTCCCTTAAGTTTGGTTTTGGACCGATCTGCCCTATCAAACAATGCCCAGGTATCTCCTACCATGGGAAGGATCTCAATTCAAACTCATCTTCTGAAGTAAGCGGTGGTGAATTGGATGTCAACTCCACGTGCGATGACTGGACAGATGACAGCCTTGAGAGCCGTCCTCACGTGATTTTCATTGACCCTGCCGAGTCGTCTCGGCCTCTATGGTGCAACAGTACCCCAATTCATGAATTTGAAGCAATCAAGGAATGGCTTATAACGGTACTAATAGCCTAATGAATACTTAGTCAAATATGCACGAGGAAGGGTCGTATGCCCGAGGGGGGCACTCCTTTATTTGGTGAACAGGGTAAGGTTTTCAGGATCTTTAGTCATAAACGGGGTATACACTCTCACTGGTTAGCGTCTTGAGTCTTAAACGAAGTGATCTGGTTTGACCATGAGAGTATGACGTGTGACTTGTCATGTGTGAAAGGCAAAAATTATTTATCTATTAATAATTACGTATATTAAGTAAATTGAAACTGCTTGATGTCTTTTGATGACTTCTTTTTTAAAAGAGGAAATTAACACGATGGACTGTCAGTAGTATGTTTACGGTTTCGTGAACTTAAGACCTGGGATCTCAGCCATTGTGTGTTGAGATTAGGAGTATACCTTGGTCTACCTGTAGCTCAGGCTTAGTCAAGAGCGTGCTGCGGTGGATGTAAACTTAAATATTGCTTCACGTTGTTTCTACCTGGCTCATCGTGCTCATCATATCTTTATCTTTGTTTGATTTTTACCCTCTTAGCCCCAGGATTCTGAAGGTTCTCCTTGTTACTCCAGTAAGTATATTTTCCAATTTAAACAATTCGTCTTTATCGTGCATGCTTGTATTGTAAATTACCGCAGCAGGGTTAGAGGAGTTAGCCAAGTTGGTTCAGCTTTGCCTAGTCCTTAGGCTTCATTATTCCGCACGGCCACTGCTTGTCGGGTCACGTGATTCGAGCTAAAAAGTAAGACTTTCCCCGCCCGTTCTCCCCGGATACGTCACGGAGGTGAATTGATCGAGAGGGACTGGAAAAAGGACGTACAGGGACAAGGCAAAATTCACCGCTGGTTCGCAGTGCATAGGTCGCGTTTTTGTTCCAAGGTTTTCCTGGACCGGACCAATGCTTATGGTATTAGAAAAGGGAGCTAAGCAACGACAACGGCGACGGGGACGGCAACGGCAACGCCATGGTTGCTTAAGCTCCCTCAAAGCTCAGAGGAGTGAACGGACTCTGTCGTTCAAACGGTTCACCCTTCACGTGGCTCGAACGGCCTTGTAGCAAACTAAAGGTGGTTCCGTTTCTACTAGGAGATGTAAAGATAATGTCGTAAGGTAGAACTAAGTGCGAAACTAACTTCATACGATATCTTAAATAAGTAGTAGCACAGTTTTGTAACTTTAATTTTGTTTGGAAAAACAAAACTTTTTGCATTTTTAGGAAGCAATTATTTATAGTTTGCTAGAACGTAAGGCAAAGAGTTGAAGTGACAATACGAGGATAATACTCTGCTGAGCGTGAAATTATGGAAAACGTTCTAAACTTTTAAATTGATAAAAAGTATTTTTTATTTGATTTGAACAGTTGGCCGATGCTGTCTGATTTTCGTTGCCAAGGAAGTTAAAGATTGGAAGTTCCTAGGCAGGCATCTTGGCGTCAACGATAACATTATTGACAACATTTGCACAGAGAACGATTCGGAGGACGAGAGGGCCTATCAACTCCTGAGAAGCTGGCTTCACTTAAAGGGACACAACGCTACTGTTCATATGCTGATGAAGGCTTTAGAGGAAAATGGTGATGTGAGGACCAAAGAAGCCTTTGAACGTCACTTAAGTGTGCATAATTAACTCGTGATTAGAAAAAGCGAAACTCGCCAAGCGGCGACCTTTTCCCTCTTCCCACCGTCCAACGTGCGCTTGTTATTTTTTGATTTTTTTCTATTTTCATTGGAATACCTAGTTGGAGCCTCTGCGAGGGAAAAAGAACAAAACATGCAGCTCTTTGCTTTTGAAAAATCCTTTGTCTTGCTATAAAAGAGAGATGACTATTACTGATTATGTTATTCTAATCCTTTAGGCGCCGAGTGGGTCCCTCGAGGTGGCTAAAGGAGCCAAGATACATAATTCCGAAAAATCAGTCGCCGTCAAAATTTCGGTGTTATCACAACCTTAAGCATAACTCGATGCTAAAAGAACAAGGGAAAACTTATGACATATAGAAGTTTAAGCGAACCCTGGCTCGTTTCATGTAATTCCTAACCAATAGTCTTCTTGGTTGGCTTACCGCATTCCCTAGCTATGCACGAGGATGAAAGACCAAATTTAGCTCTATTTCAATTCTTTTTATGATATATGTTCTTCTTCGATTTTATGAAACGAATCTGGTATTTTCGAGTTTCACCTGTGACAAGAAGACACGGCGTTTGTATCTTACAGAAAGAAATTAGAAAAGGGTGACAATGAATTAAGAATTTTTACAAGCATGGATCTTTCACTTTTGATTTTGGGCTGCTCTACGCCTGAAAGTTAATTCTCGGAAAGAAAACGAGATAGTGGGGTGGGCTGTTTTGTGTCATATTCTAAATTAAGAATCAATTGAATAAAGTTATGAATCAGCTTAAACCTTTTGGGATTTAGAAAATAAGAGTAACTTACAACCCCATACAGAGACCTTTCAGATCTCTAAGATAAAATATATGGGTCGTAAATTTTAAAAAAATCAGATTTGTTTTATCTATTAAGTTATTTCTCATCTAATAATTATTTACAGTTTTAGTTACTAGTTTTAAAATTTTTAACTTTCAAACAGCTCTAAGCAAAAATTTTAGTATGTCTTTTATTTGTTTCAAGTGAGCGACACTTCTACTCCAACCCCCTTTCCAGTAAAATCTTGTAACGAGTTGTAAAGAGTTGAAAAATCAGCCTTGTTCTCAGTCGTCCTCGGCGATGTCAGGTGTGACGTCACCTGTCAAGCTTGTTGGGAGAATTTGGGCTCGGTTCCAAGCCTCCTTCGCTCAATCAGACAGCTTAGGGACGAGGCTGTTCAAAACTGTTCTCATTCGCGTAAAAGCCGCTTCATGACGACTAAATCATGCAGCTAGCATGTTCCACCTTGGTAAACGATTGAATTAAAGACGAATATTTTATTTTTGATTGAAACAGAACAAGTTGATCAATGCTGTCAGGCTTTAGTTGCCAAGGTAATAGGTAACAAATGGAGGTAGCTTGGCAGATCTCTTGGCGTCGAAGAGACAGTCATTGAGAACATTCAGACGGAGAACGAGAAACAGGAAGAGCGTGCCTTTCAAGTCCTGCGAAAGTGGTCTGTCTCAACTACCTATTTTTAAAAAGCTATCATTATTTTTAAAAAGCAATTTCTTAAAAACTATCTGCACCCTCTTTCTTGATGTTTTCAAAACAGACAGTTGGTCACTGTGGAGAGATCCTTTGTCTTCCACCCCAAGAATTAAACCATAATTTAATGTTATTTCAGTTTTCAAAAATTATGCAATGTAATGGGGGCTGTGGATATATACCGTATGCAGATCGCGGAGGATGTCATTTCAGCCTCGGTGGATAACGGCCTCCGAGATCTGCATATGGTATTTTTTTGCCTGATCACAAACTGTGGCAATAACAAAACAGTTTAAGGTGGCTGAACACAGTTTTGCTGGTGGTCAGCGGTAACTCGCGTGACGGCGAGTGTTTTAACTTAGACAAACAAACATGGCGGCGAAAAAGCAATGGTACACAGAAGACGATTTCTCAAAATCTACTCATTAAAATTTTGTGATATTTGGCAGAATTTTTACTTTTATCGTATTTTAAATAATGAGAACTTTAAAACGGAATTTGAACAGACGATTTTTGTGACAAATTTAATAATTACAGTACAATTGTATTATTGATTATCTGAAAACCCCTCTGTTAAAATTTGGTCAAATAAGTTTCAAATGGTAATTATTAATTATAGTAAGCTGTGTGCAAGTTTATAGGAAAATCTAATGAGTGAATTTTCTGTAAACTGAGCAAAAGTGAAATTTTAAGGTAGTATTCAATCGTTCATGTTGTCATGGAAACAACGAAAAGGACAAATTTTACCTGTCACTCAAAATCTTTCATCAATATATTTTCCACTTGCCAAGTTTCAGCTTGTGAGCAGCAACCCTTCTCTTGCCATAATTTGGCAAATGACATACACTCAGAAACTGCCAAAACTGTGTTCAGCCACCTTAAAGACTGTTAAGGACGGTGCCCACTATTGTTACTGCGCACATTTTCTGCGCATGCCAAGGTAGTCGCGCGCGACGCGAAAGAAATGGGCAACAAGCAGGACACGCGGGCTGGTTTTGTTACCTCTAAGTCTGGGAGGTTCTAGTTTCTTGTGGAAAAGATGCGTCGTTTTTCAACAGATGAAAAATATTTGCTATTTACCTAGTCAGTTCTTTGAAAACCGAAGAAGTATGCGTATGTTCATTGCTATTTCTGCCGTATGGTCGATCTGACCTAACATTCTATAGTTAAACAAAAGTCAATTTTAAAACATCAAAAGTTATTGCTTCGAGATGTTACGCTTGGAGCTTGGGTATTAAACAATCCCTCAATAGGCAAGGATCAGTAAATCAGAAGAAAAATAGCTCTAAGTCCTCCGCTTAATCGAGAAACTGCAAGCTTACCTTTCACTCGCGTCCTTTGCCACTTTTTATCAGCTAATCGGCGATAAACACTTTCCCGAATATTTCTTTAATTTTGTAAGATTTTATTTAATTATTCACCAGAATTATAGACTTAAAGCGTTCGAGTACATACAGATGTCCCTTTTATTGAGAGTCCGAGGCTTTTATTTGTTGAAGAAACAAGAAAAAAACTATCACAGGATTGCTAGGGTTGCTGAGATCGCAGCTTCACAAATAGTTGCGGACCGCAAAGGAAACGCTTTTATCGTGGAAAAAATCGTAAAAAATTGTTATGCTTTTTACTATTATCATTATATAATTTTGGCATTACTAAGCTTTAAACTTATTAACTCATTGGGAACTTGTCGTGTAGATGGTATTTCTTAAGGTTCAATTTCGTGGCACACATAATCTGGACATTTAGACATAGCTGCAATTTGGCTGTTTACAAACTAAAGATGGAAGGTAAATAAAGTATTTCCGTTCTAAGACTTTCTTAGGTTTAAAAGACACCGTTAAGTCTAAAATTAACATTTAGGAACGAAAAATCATGAATGATCATGACACAGAATGCTACAGTAAAAATTATCAGAACGAAATATATAAAACGATGATTATAGCCCAGTTTATATAAAGAGGGTACATAAACGCATTCGGTACAACTACTTTCGAAGTATTCAGCTTTTTTAAAAGAGAGCTCATGTCTGGAACTTGAGTCAATGCAAATCATTTATGTCATATGACACTTGTGGCAAAGCCCGAAAGAGATAGCGCAAAGCACAGATATAAGCTCATTGAATGTATGCAAGTTTAATAACATATTCGATCGAGGTACCCGGTAAAATGATAAAAAACGATAGAAGGTTTACAATCCATATTACATCTACAGTTCAAAAAGTCTCGAGGACATTATGGCATGTAAAGGTAAGCAAACGATTGACTGTCTAAGAGTCCCTGTCGACCATTTTCCACTACAGTACAGTAGTTTGTTTACAGCGCCAGCCTTGGATCTTGAGCTCGCCATACTACTCTATGTGCGCTGGAAGTAATCTTTAATACTTTGGAGATTGCTCTTCTCCAAAACTTTCTGTTAAATTTTTGAGACGGAGAAGCTCCAGTTCAATGAAATAGTATAATTTGCTTTCCTTAGAGTCCATAAAATGTCCTGCTTCACTTTCTGTTTTTGCTCTTCTTCTGTGGGTTGTTGTTCGCTGACTGATAGCCATTTTAGATATCCCAGAGTACTCCGCGTTGAGTGAAGCAATAGTGAAACTGACCGGGGAGGGGATGGGGAAAATTGTAAACAACCCCCAATGCGATTAAGTTAAGGACGAAACCAACCAATTTAACTTCTAAAAACGCTCGGTAACCCCTATCTTTTATCTTACCAAACGAAAGTAATAAGCCTACTCAGCAAACGATCAATTTTTGGTTCGGGGAAAATGTCGTTAACACAATTTTTAAGGCAAACGCGTGGAGAGGGGTAACTGCTAATAACTTCCCAGTTGTGCTAATATTTCACAAAAAGACGTATAAAGAGCAGTTGTTATGTTATCATTTGTTGCTTATTTTGAAACCTTGTTGAAATTATCATTGCATTTGTGCCAGTTTACGTGTACACTCTGAAATTTGTGGAAAAAATAACTTTTTATCATTTTTCTAAAAAATGCCTATTCAGCGTTTTTCTCCATATTGAAGCGCAGTTATCTCTGGAAAATGCGTGGTTACCCCCAGTTTTCTTTTTGGATTTCAATAGCCGCTGATATGATTTACTTGTCTCACATTGTCATTATCTGGCAAAAAATACTTCCCATTAGTGGACACCGTCCTTAAGCTTATTCAAAGCTATTACCAAGGGAGGAACTACGCGCTCCAGTCAAAAGACTCACACTATCTTTAGAAAAACACTAAGCTGGAGTTTACTGAGTCACAATTTAATTCTGCACAGTAAGTTTATGTAGCTTCAGTTTAAGCTGCAGTTCACTCTTATAATTTTGGATCTGTAAGTCACTATCCGTGATAATTTAACATTCTGCAAAGAAAACTGACGAGCTGGGCTCAGCGTGATACAGCATTGCAGAAAAACATTACACTCACGGACTAAAGAAAATCGCTTAGTTATCCAGATCCAGAAGGCACTTTGGAGAAAATTGGAACCCTTATTCAGCCGTAATAAAAAAGCTTTACCCTTCAAAAGAGGTCAAAGAAAATGCGCTTGCGTCAGAGGGCAAATCCTGCCGACCAGAAAACAATAACTACAGTCAATCGATATGTATGTCATGACCTCTCAGTGTGAAACATGCGGCTAAAATCACATTTGCTCAGTATAAATGCAGAACCTTCCAGAGCATAATCTACCCAGCAGATAAAAACAACTTTATTGGAATAAGCAGCATTTTGGCACGAGGTGAAAGTCGTGTAGGCCTACCACCCCCTTTTATTGCTATGATCCAGTACACTAGAAACGGGCGGTGACAACTCTAACAAAGGCTGTTTGGGCAGTCCTATGAATAACTTTATGTCCTCCCGGAAATTTGGACGACCCTCCCGAATTTTTCGGTGGCATTACCCATGTTAAATGTTTAACTTCCCAAAATTGTTTTAACAATTAAAATTAAAATTAGATATTTTTTGCAGCTTCTTGTTAGTTATGTAACTTGTTAATTATCTAACCTTAGTTATTTTTTCGTTTAGAGAAGTTGAACACTGAGGGTATCATGTTAACACAGAAAGACTGTCCAACTAAAATCGTGGGTTTTTTTTAAATCACCGATGAATCAGGCGAGCGCTGAAGAGGCCAGGCACTAGGGGGGTCTGGGGGCATGCTCCTCCAGAAAATTTTGAAATCTTGGTGCTCTGAAACGCCAATTTCCAGTGTTCTGAGAGGACAAATTTTAAAAGCGCGACTTCGCGTAGAAGTAGTCGATTTTATTTTATATTTTGTGCGGTTTTTGAAATTGTTCTGGATATCACTTTCAGCTAAGTATAATGATAGTATGTGCCTTGCACCAGCACGGTTCTTGTCTCAATCCGCTGGGGATTGCACGTGGTCAATCGCACTCCAACTTCATGCTATTTTAGTTGGAAACATTGCTGATTGGTCTTTCCATATCATGGGGAGTTAAGTTGTTTTCAAATTGAAAACGTTACAGTCATATGAAAGGGGTGGGGATGCTCGTCGTCTCGCTTAGGGGTGTAAATTTCGGGTTTTGGTCTCGCTTAGGGTGTTCTGGGCAAAACACTATTATATTTAGCCGTAAAGGTCTATTCAAGGGTTGCTCTCGAAAAAACATTAAAAAATTGTATATTTTCAATTCGTTTTATTTACTCGATTCACGTAATCAAAGTTTAAGATGATCGCTTTTAGGGGTCAAAGAAAAATTGGGCCACGCCCAGATTGGTCTCCTTTAGGGGTTTAATTCAAAATTTCCGACTAGCATCCCCACCTCTTTCATATGCGGAGTTCCCCCCGGGACCTTATTACCACAACACTATTCAACTAACTGTGGAATGGAAAGCGTGAGTCAGGCTTCTCTTTATCATGTCATATCGCGCGGTAAACTGACTAATTATCGCGCGATAATTTTCTTATTTATCTCACGATTCATTTTATCGCGCGATAACTTAAGCCAAAAAAAAAATGGAAAGTCCCTTACGGGCCACCGTAGTACTACTCTTTGCCATTTCAACGGTTTTACGAAAACTCTATTCAGGCGAGCAATTCACAAGCTTATAGTCCTTCGCCGTTTCAACGTTTTTACGGAAACTATTTACAGGCGAGCCACTTGATTACAGTCATACCCAGGCAAGTACAGTCAGAGGCTTGTTATTCTCCGAGCTAAATGCAGTCTTCGCAGCCACTAGGCACTTTATTTTCTTTATCTCTCCCATCCTCCTGAATCTGGACAAGGACAAGGAGGAAAGCGATCCTATGATCGGACGACGAAGAGTTAATGTTGTCTGGTATCTGGCCTACTTTAGTTCTCAATGTGTTAAAACAATGACAATTGACTCCCACTAGTAACTACTAGTGCGACCCATCTCGATTTGATTAAAAGTTTTCTTTTCCAGTTGCGGTTTTGAATTTCGTGGTTTTTTTAGCCGGCAAAGACAAAAACTTTCCTCAAGTGCGACCCATACCATAATCTCAAGTTGCGAGTTAGGGCGAATTAAGGTGGGTTAAGGTCCCAGAGTAGGCCTAAGGAGGTTACAAGCAAAGGGCTAGAAGTGTACCCTTCAGACAGGCAAACTCTGTTACAAAGCCATCAATATGAATATATTACGTCCTGGTGCTCCTATGCAGAATTGCAAGAGAATTCTCTCGTCTGTCACGGTCCTTCGTAAAGGAGTTTGCAGTCTCTTCATACCGCTGAAGCTGCACTGAGCTGTCCATGTTGTCACAGGATAAGTCAACAAAGTTATGAGACCTACCTATACTCCTGGATAGAATTGGAGTTGGCTTGGTCAAAAGTCTCAACCAAGGTCTGTGGCTTAACATTCGGATCCATCTCACTCCACTTAATCAGTAAAAGAATAAAGGAAATCCTAACACAAAAACACCGATATAGTGCGAAATATTTATCCCGATGTAATGATAAAAATGCTTTCAGGAAATTAAAAAAATCTATATATTTTTCCAGATTTCAACTGTATGCTTAGGCGTACGTAACAGGAATGTAGTGCGCATACATGTACGCAGGAGAAATAGCTGATAGGTTCCTGGGCCAAGCTTTATACCGGTAACATTTTGTTGCTGACAAAGAACCGCGCCCAAGCGTAATTTTCGCCTGCTTTTGGAGGAAACGTGGATTTGCTTCAATCATAATATAGTTTGACAACTTTTACATAGAAGGCAAATTTTGTGTCTTAATATTTCGACCCCTCTCACAGTTTGTGCATTTTCAAAATTGATCCCCCAAAATCAAGCCTCTTAGAAAATTGTACCCCCCTCCTCCCACCCCCCCCCCTTCCCTGGAACTTAATAAACGATCGGTCCCTTACTTTTACAGGGCTTTTCAGTCACAATCGGACTAAAGAGCCCATTATAGAGCCCAGGCGACGTCCTGAACAGAAATGACTGGAGGAGAATGGAAACGATGTCTGCTTCCGGGAAATGTAACAAAAGACTCGATTCGTGGAAAGCACATGCTTTCTTCCGCTGGTACGATACGGTACCTGAACTCATATTTTTGAACTGTTTTCTTTGAATCAACTTCTTTCCTTGAGAGGTACGTCTCTAGAAAGAAATGCCTTTTCTCAGCAAACATTTGCCGTGTGTAAGGGTAAAAGAACACTGCTCAAGGTGTCATCGAACATTCTCTGACAAGGAAGCTTTGATAAAACATTTGCAACACAACTCAAAACACTTTGTTCCCGATGTACCCGAAGGATGCATTCACTGTGGAAGACCATTCTCGTCCACAGGAGCCTTAATCCAACACCTCAAGACTAACCGATATCATTTAAGAGATCTTCACCACGCCGCCTGTACGGGTAGATTTCAACTTCTTGATAGCCTTATGAGAAATGAGTTCGCCAACGAACCGGGAGATTCTCATCGACCTTGTTCGAAATCCCAGATGGGTTTCACGCCAATGCACTGTGCCGCCTTCGGTGGTCACTACGAATGCTTGAAGATAATGCTCAGTTGGCCAGATGGGAAGCCAAATGTTATTGATCCTAAGGATGGTAGAACCCCTGTCCATCTTGCTGCTTGGAAGGGACATGCCAATTGCCTCAAGTTGCTGCTCAAGAATGGAGGTGACTTGTATCGACCTGACCAAAATGGAGGTACTCCGTTATCTTTGGCATCCGATCATCCGAGCTGCCTGTCCATAATATTTTTCCATCTAGCCGGTAAGTGGTGTACATCCAACCAGTTAATTATTTGCTTGTTTGTCGTTAACTTTTTTCTGTTTTTTTTTTTTCTAATCCTTTATCTATCTCCAGAATCATGTCTTTTGATCATTTTATAAATAAGCCTAAGCTAATCTCAAAGTGATGAGGTCTTAAAATATCTATCTTGCACTCTAAAATGGTTGTCATTCGTAGGTCAACGAAATCTGCCACGGGCAAGAGCTGGTTTTTATTCAGAAGAGAGATACGTCGAAGCAGTAGAATATGTATTGAACAGACTTCATCGTCAAGATAGTTTTGAGCAGCATTTCACTCGTCGTGTAGAGGAGGTTATCGAGGACAGTGAAAGAAGCCATGCTGAAAATCAAGTGCAATCGTTTCAATTAAACAGCGAAATCGAAGGTATTAGGTGAAGTTGTGTACACGTCTATAATACTGAGGTGTTGTGTATGAACTGCAGTTGCATTTCACGTCCGTAATTACTTATAAATTGTGTGTAGTTAATTCTTTCACGGTTGGACTGTATTCAGTGTATGATATTCCAGGTGATTTTTTGTTTAAAAAAGTGAACAGAAAATGATGCTTTTCACAAATATATGATAATGGGTCCAACGAACGTAGCTATGAGTGAATATAAATCAAAGTAGAGATTCCTTTGTCGTGGAACAACGTTAGCGAAACGTGGCACAATCTAGGTAACGAAAAGCCACCTGACTGATTGCTGTCGAAAATCCTCAAGCTTCATTTACCCATATGAATCTATATCATTGTACTTGGTATCTTTATTATACTTTTGTATTTCGGTAAATGAAACATTGTGTTACTCATGTACTTAAGTTAGCCACACATCAGTGATTATCGCTCACAAAGTACGTAGGTAATATTACCGATCAATTTATTCAACATTACATTCAGGAATTTTGCTCTCACCAAGTTATTTTATTTTGTCTTGAAACAGAACCGTACAGTAAACCATATGAAGTTCTTGCTAGGGGAAAAGAAACAGTAGAAATCTTCAATCAAGCCCTTCATAAAGGCAAAGCGAAGGTGACTCGACTGCAGCTTACAGTCATTGGAGATATTGGAGCAGGGAAGACAAGCCTCGTTCGAAGTCTCAGTGGAGAGAATTTTGTGGAAGAAAGGATCGAGACTCATGGAATCGATACGTCAATGGTTGAGGTGACAGAAGTTGATGATTCTTGGCATGTAACAGACCTGAACAAATCTTTTGTAGATGAAATTTTAACAGATAGAGTTTGTGAAAGTTTCAAAAATTCTAATGAGGCAAAGGGAAGTTCAAGTGCGTATCAATCGAGTATTTTAGATCCAGGCCCCTCGTTGCGCCATCCACCTTTTTCAAGGCGACTTCTAAGTATCGACCGTGCTCGAGAGGGTGATGCCAGCTCTGATGATGCTGATGACCAAACAAGCCTGGTCCCCTTCACGAGATCTAAAGGTGAACAGACACCTCCGAGAGACATACCGGTAGACCTAATTACAAGGAAAATGAGTGATGCTTCACTGGAACTAAAAGAAAGAAAATACATCAAATTAAGTATTTGGGATTTTGCAGGCCATCCCTTGTACCAAGCCATGCACCACGTGTTTTTGAACAGACGCTCCTTCTACCTTGTCGTTACAAATCTTGTCCAACTGTGTGACCCTAAGAGTACAGACATTGCTTTAAAACAGCTTCATTTATGGCTCAACTCTGTCCGTGTCCACACTCCTCAGACCACCCCAGTGTTCCTGGTGGGAACACATAGCAAAGCTGTAACCCAGGAAGCTTTATCCAACGCAGAAAAACAGTTGTATGACGAATTTAGTGCAACCTTTGCCCAACAATTGGTCAAAAACCAAGAGAAGAACTTTTTATTCTCAGTAGAAAACACTCTTGGTAGTACAGATGAGGGAGCTTTGCTATTAAAGAAAACAATCAAAGAAGAAGCCTCTCGCCTTAATCTGATGGACGAGGAATTTCCTGTCTTATGGCTTCATTTTGAAGAAGAAATTCTCAAGTGCAGAGAGAGGACAGATTGCTCAGCCTGTGTAACTAAGGCTTTCCTCAAGACAATGCTGGTTGAAAGCAACTTTGATGTCGCGGACGAAACGTTTGAAAGTATGCTACGCTTTTATCACGACAGTGGCGTGATTATCCTGCCAGGTAAGGGGTGACTAAAAAAATATCGTTACTGAGAATGTGAGTGAAGTTAAGAGAGTAACTTGGGAATGAATAACTGACACGTTTGAAGTACGTCGTGTCACGACAGCCCTACGCTGGTCGTTGGTTGCCAAGGTAATAAACTAATGGAAGTGTTCCAACGCTTTTTTTCTTAGCGGCTTTCTCTAACATTTAAAGGTAAAAGTGACTGATGAATTTACAATTTGCGCTGGATGAGGTATTTGGGAATAGCGGAGGTATAAAGTAACAAGGGCTAAGTGAAAAGGAGAGCAAAAATATGGAATGAAATGCCGGAAAATTTAAGAAAACTTTAAAAAAATGCCTTTAAGAGGAAAATAAAGCAAACACTTTTTGAGATCCTAGCTTCAGAAGACTGTTATATTGATTTCCCAGAAATCGTTCAAAAAGTTAAGTTGGATTTATTTTCCTCTTAGTTAGTATGTTATCATCAATATCGCTTAGTGTATCAGTAGTCTCTTATCATAACTGTGTTGTAATTTATTATTAGTATTCTGTTAGTTTATCAGTATTCTCTTGTCATTGTTGCCAATTTGAGTTTCTTTAGTTCCCTTGTTACTTTTAATTGTATTTTAATAGTTGTATTTATTTCCTGTAAACATGACCCGCCTAGATTAGCTTAGCTACCCGCGGGCAAGTTATAATTGTACTTTTACCTTAAAACACAATAAAAATGTATGTATGTATGAGAACTTACCTTAAGACACTATCAAATTTCCACGGGACAATCTTTCTTTCAGGAGAGTTAATCGGACCTGAGACGCAGAACACCGAGATGAACAATCTGGTAGTGATAAACCCCCAGTACCTGGTTGATGTGATGACCTGTCTTCATGATATACCAGATCATTTGGATGTCGATCGGGAACATCGCCCTCACTGGCAGAAGCTACAAGACCAGGGAATAACAGACATGGAGCTTTTGAATCATGTCTGGAAAAAGTTCGACAGCCCGGCCTCTGACCTGGTAGCCATTTTAGAGGCCTGTGGTATGTTGTGCCCAATTTCAACTTCAGAACGAGTCGGAGATCCCGAAAGTCACAGTGAGAAAGATGAAGGCAAGGACAGAGACAGGGAGACAGGGACAAGCAAGTTCATCGTCCCCTTTCACCTCGAAGTGAAATCTCTGAAAAGAAAGTGGGAGAGACTTTGTCGCAGAACCTGGCAGGCCATTTGCAACACGGATAAAATTCTAATGTTTGATTTCCTTAGCTTTCTCCCTCCTGCCCTCTTCGAGTATTTCATCGTTCGCACAGCTGCAAAAAGTAAGAGCAGCAGTGGTATGACTCCCATCATAGCTAAAGAGATGGCCATCTTCTCTTTTGGAGACAGCTTCTTCTTCCTTGCGGAGACCTGCCCAAAGTTCAACCAGATTAAAATCAGCGCGAGGCATGTAAAATTACTTTACACCTGTAGCTGTACCCTTTCAGTCACTACTTTTCTTTTCTTTCTTTTTTTTTTTGTTTTTTTGTTTAACGCTTCTGGTTCAAACAAACATCGAAATGAGGTCTTGAATTTCCATTACTTTAATTGCTGAATGTATTTGGTGTCAATGGAAGGTGAAGTGTGCTTCTTTCTCTATTCATAAAGTATAATTTCACAATATCACTCTAGTTCGCTTTTTTGTCTCATCCACCATCATTATCACACACCTGCATTCTTTATTACTAACTGTTCTGGCCATCAACCTGTTTTGCTTGTGCAAATAAGATGAAATGAAACACCGAAAGAACTAACTACGGTTTTTTTTCTTCTCGTTAGGTACAAGAATGGAAAGAAGTTGCATGAATTGTTCAGCACCCTAATGACAATAATGTCAGAAATTTGTCAACACCAGTTCAGGTTCCTTAAGTTTGGTTTTGGACCACTCTGCCCCAACAAACGTTGCCCAGGTACCTCTTGCGATGGCAGGGTTCTTAAAACTGACTCGTCTTCTGACGAAAGCGATGGTGAATTGGACGACAACTCCACGTGTGATGAAGCAGATGACAGTCTAGTCTCAGGAGAGACCCGTCCTCACGTAATCAGCATTGACCCTGCAGTGTCATCTAAGCCTTTGTGGTGCAACAGTACTCCAGTACATGAATTTGAAGAAATCAAGGAGTGGCTTGTCAAGGTGATATCGTACTGAGTCTGAAAAGGGGGCTTCCTCTCCTTTTTCACCACAATCCCGCATCCCAATGTTCTGCCCGGTATCGATTTGTCAATCAATAAATCAATAAAAATAGGTAAATCTGATTTGATTGATATCGATTGTATCGATCAATCGGTAGAAATCGATGACACGCTCATTTCGTTTATCGATTTATCTTGGTTTTTACTGATTTCATCGATTTTTATTGGAAGATCCCGAACCTGTTCATCTGTTTATCCAAAAATGAAAACTGAATTCATGCAAACAGTAAATTTGTTGGCAATTTTAGTTGCAATTGAGAGTCAAAGGATCAAACATTTATCACTATGTTGTTTATCAAACATTATCATTTATAAAGAAATCTTTAAAAAAAATCTTATCTCTCCTTTAAAACCAGGTTTAAAATCCTCAGTCTTCTGATGGCTGATTTTGGCCAAGTCTGTAGGCGCCCAGTTTTTCAGTATTTAGATCTACCACTCTTTCAAAGAACGTCGGTGTAGATCCGGGTGCAGTTACATCCCGCAGGATCCGGAGTAGTCAATGGATAAAAATCGAAATCGATGAAAATCGTTAGCAATCAAGTAATTTTTATCGATTGATATCGGAACGGATAACAGTAAAAATCTATCGAGGAAAATATTTCCGCCTGAATCCCGACTCGAAGGAATGTCTGAACCAAACCGTTTTTGTTATTATGTACAAATAAAGGGTTTTAGAGAGAAAGTTGTGTGTGTAATAATTTCTGCACACCTCATTTTCATGTTTGCTGATCAGTTGTTACTCGTGGATGCGTTTTCTTAGCTATACTATCTAACTCATGCCAAAAAAACCGTGGTGGACTTCCGTTACAAATCGTTAAAACCATGAAAATCGATAATATCGATTTGACACAGCAGTTCAGTTTGTCGATTTTCACCGATTTCCGTTATCAATCGATAAAAATCACTTGATTGCTACCGATTTTTATCGATTGACTACTCCGGGTGTTCTGTCATCTCTATCCCGAATACTGTTTATTTTTTTCCAATACCACAACCCTTAAATACCAAGATTTTGGCGAATCCCGCCCCTCAAGTAGCCGTCCTTCCACACCCTGATGGGAGTGAAATTTCTTTTGGAGAGTTGTGAGTTCGTCATGACTACTTACAAGTGTTAAAGTGCTTAACACTTGCTCTGATTAAATGTACGAAAATATCAAATTTAGCGATCTCATCTGCACGTCTCTCAAGTATAGCTTGTCTCGTAGAAGGAGCTCGGACACGTTTGCTTGCATGTGGTTACATTATTCATTATGATCAAACAGAGAATTGGAAAATAACAAACAAGATTATAGTATCTTTGTTGTAAGATGATGATCAGTGGCGGATCCAGGGGAGGGACCGGGGGGGCTGCCCCCCTTATTTTTAGACCATCCTGAGGCCCGGGTCTGGATCCAGTGTCGTAAACTTAAACCCAGGAGCTAATCGTGCCTTGAGATGAAGCGTCCACCTATACTTCCTATAGTTACAAAGGTT